GGCAGGGAGTCAGTGGAAGCCAACAGAATAGTGGACAGAAGCCCCAGGCACAGCCCAACCCTGTCATCTGCAGCAGATTAAAGCTTTCAAAGACCCCCCGCCCCCATCAGGAGAAACTGCAATTCTTGACTGTGGCAAAAAAGAATTACAAGATGAATCAGTGGTGTATAGGTTACTTTTCCATCACTGTGATAAAGACACCTGACCAAGGCAACATGCAGAAGGAAGAGTGTGTGTGGGCCTAGGGTTCCAGAGTGATAAGCGTCCCTTACCATCATGGCAGAGAAACATTAGCAACAGGAGAGCATGGAGGCTGAGGCTGTGGCTGAGGAAGGTCTCACATCGCCAACCACAAGCAGGAAGCAAAGGGAACCAACCTGAAGTGCCATGAGGGTTTAAACTCTCAAAGGTACTTCCAGTGACATCCTTCTTCCTACAAAGCCATTCAAACCACAAGTGTGAAACAGAATTGGCATTTTTTCTTTTTTGTCCTTATTTTTTATTTTTATTTTATTTATATATTATTTTAATATATATTTATATATTATTTATTTTATTTATATATTTATTTTATTAAGAATTTTTTTTATTCATTTTACACACCAATCAAAGATTCCCCCCTTCCTTCTTCCTGCCCAACTCCAGGATCCCCCTCCCAAGAATCGGCATTTTTAAAGAAGATATTTTTAAATATGCATGTGAGCATGGGCATCAATAGACAGACAATCACCTAGGGAAAGGGCAGGACTTACCCTTGTGTGAATGTGGGTTTATTAAGAGAGAGTCACACCATCAGTCCCCTAATATCCATACCTACCATTTTGATGGCTACCAAACTTACATTTTACAAAGATTTCTAAAGGACACCTACTCCCTCCCCCGCCCCTCCCCTCCTGTTTCTTCTTTTTTTTTTCCGTGAGTTCAGAGGGTCTTTTCTGAGATGCATTGGCTAGGATTACAGGCCGATGAGATAAAACCACAGCTCACAAGCATTGCATAGGGGCTTGAGACATGTTTTTACTGTAAACAAAATTTATAGTCTCCTTTGTGAGTTTCCAGAAAATGGCAGGTTTATATGTGGGAAAGGTATAAGACCATGCTTGAAGGTCATATGTGTTTAGGCCTTATGCATACTTTCTAGCTATTTTAACATTCTTATTTGAAATATCACTGTATATAAAGAACACTATCTCCACACAGGCAACCTCCACAGCACATTTTGTTAACTATGTTGCAGTTGTTGACTTTCAGCTGGTGAAAGACCTCAGGCTATAGAGTGAGGGGTTCCTTTCTCTTCCACGTCCCTGTCTGTCCTGCCTGAAGCGGGTGGCTGCACAAATTAAGGTGAAATGTGGTGGCCCCATTACTATGCTGTGAGTAAAGATTCCTGCTGAATGGAGAACCAGAATGATTTGTTGATGGGTGAGACACAGGGCATCAATATTGGAGTTCACTTCCTTGGAGACAAGAACTAAAAGAATAGAGTGATCCTTCCCCATGGGGGAAAGCTCTAAGGAATGGGTTCAAAGAAAAGACCAGGAGGTCTATTTTGGAGGGGACAAGGCTAAGATGTGTGCTATGCATTCAAGTGAGATATTGTGGTATTGTGTTCCCCAAAATATTGTGTACCCTAATAAATTTATCTGGGGTCAGAGAACAGACAGCCACTAGATACAGAGGCTAGAAAGTGGTGGCACTCACGTCTTTAATCCTAGCATTCCAGAGGGAGAAATCCATCTGGGATCTCTGTGAGTTCAAGGCCACATTGGAAAGAGACAGGCATGGTGACTCATCACGCCTTTAATCCCAGAAAGCGAGCCTTTAATCCCAGGGAGTGGTGGTAGAAAGCAGAAAGGTATATAAGGCGTGAGGACCAGAAACTAGAAGCATTTGGCTGGTTAAGCTTTTAGCTGGTTAACCTTTCAGGCTTTGGAGCAACAGTTCAGCTGAGAGCCATTGGGATGAGGACACAGAAGCTTCCAGTCTAAAGAAACAAGAGCAGCTGAGAAGTTGGCCAGGTGAGGTTAGCTGTGGTTTGTTCTGGTTCTCTGATCTCCAGCATTCACCCCAATAACTTGCTTCAGGTTTGATCTTATTAATAAGAACTTTTTAAGAGTCATGCTACAAGATATATTGAGTATAATATGACCTACATCTAGTAATAAGAGAGTCATGTCTGATTCAGTGGCAAAATTAGAGTCCTTTTCAATGCAAACAAGGCTACATGGCTATTAACATCTATTTGCTTTCAATTATCATAGAAACTATATCTTTATTTTATTGACTTGAAATTTTGCATACATAGCACCATGATTCCTCATTAGCAGACTCGGTTATTTATTTTCAGAATGTGCATTTCGTTTGGTGACATAAATTACCATGAAAATCACAAAAGCTTTTAAATCACCCTTTGCTTCAAATGCTGAACAAAAATGGAATCAATGAAAACATGCCATCAAGTTGTATATTTGGGTTTTAATTTGTTTTGTTACACAGGATATCAAACATATAGATATTTTACTGTCTTCCAGTTGGTTTTAGTTTTAGATAATCCTAACTGTTTTCCAGTCACTCAAAAAGTATTTATTGATAAATGCTATGAGCTTGGAAAATTCTAGAGGACAGGGGATTTTTTTTTTTTTATAATGCCCCTTTTGCAATTGGTAGAAGCCTGTTCCGAGGCTGTGATTGGGTGGTAGGTAGGGAGAAGGAGTAAGAGAATGGAGTAAAATTGACATCACAATATAACTATAAATACTATAAACAAAGGTTTGAGCAAATTGTTTAGGTGTGTGGGGAGGAAGAGCTCTCCTAGCATAGAGAAATTATATCCCAGTATACATTTTTTTCAGTCAAAATTAATTTTATTAGCTGCCTACTTGGAACCAGCTTATTGATTTTACTTTGCTTATATGGTTAAAAACTAAATAAAATAATATAGTGAATTTCTTTTTAAATTAATTTTTTTCTTTGACAGTTTCATACATGCAGACGATACACACTGGTCACATTCCTTTCTACTCTCAGGTTTCTTGTCTTTATTCATGGTTAAACTACATGAAGTCAGAAGACTGGGCACTGGGAAACGTTCATCTTTTATTTTACTTTGTATTTAATGTGCTCTTTCTTCAGCAACCTCATATCTGTAAGTAAGGCGCTCTGGTCACTCTGAACTTCTACCCTTTCTTAGCTCCCTCCCATCTCTCCCTTCTCGTATTTGTGTCTTTGGTTTGTGACTTAATTAGGGCTGTCTATGTGGTCATGGGTTTGGAACTGTTCACTGGAGCCTGATGAACTCACTCGTCTCCACACACTAGTATTCTCCTGCAGGGAGAACTTTCCTGTCCTGACCACCTCTTCCCAAATAATCACTCAGAGGCTTGATATAAATTACACATACTCATCCACTAGTTCAGGCTTATTACTAACTAGCTCTTAAATTTTAAGTTACCCCATATTCCTTATTTACATTCTGCCTCGTGGTGGTGCCTTCATTAGCATGACAGGTTCATCTCCGGCTCCCTTGACATCTGGCTTGCTGGCATCTCCTCTGACTCCACCCTTCCTCATCCCAGCATTCTCAGTTTGGCTCTCCTGCCTAACTTTATCCTGTTCAGCTATTGGCCAGTCAGCTTGTTTGTTAAACCAATCATATGGACATATATTCACACAGTGTACAGAAGGATTATTCCACAGCATTGAGCCCAATGAACTCACCTGTCTCCACACACTGGTGTCCACCCACAACTCTACCAACCCTCATCCTCTTCCCACTCACCCCAAGAGCCCACTTTCTTTTCTTTTCTTTTTGATTCTGTTCTTTGGTTTGTTTATTTGTTTATTTGTTTTTTTGAGATTGGCTCTCTCTACATAGCCTGGCTGACTTAGAACTCACTATGTCCACCAGGCTGGTCTCAAGCTCACAGAGATACACCTTCCTCTGCCTCCTGAGTACTAGATACACCCGCCTCCCACTACATTTTCATGTCTCTTGGTTTTTCCTTACTTTTGCTTTTGCTGGGGTATCCACTAGGTTTCCCCAAGGTCGCTTACATGGGCAGAGGTGTGAAGCTATCTACTGGAGCAGGAGTAACTTGCCAACGGCTACATCACTGAGGACAGTGACTTCCTCCACTGCCCTTAGCGGCACTGGGTGGGGTGGGCCCTCCTGAAATCCTCCCCTACTTACGAATTCATATTTAGTGGTCAGTCTCCTGTAGGCCCATACAGGCAACTGCAGCTTCTGTGAGCTCATGAGGGCAATGGCCAGGCCCCAAGACAGCATTTCACAGCCCTCCTCCCCATCATGAAATTCATCCATTCTTTCTACCCCTTCTTCTGTGGTGTTTTCTGAGCTATGGAGAGGGTGATACGAGTGTTCCATTTAAGGCTGAGTGTTTAACAGTCATTTGGTCTCAGCACCTTGACCAGCTACTACCCATCAGTCCCTGTACTGACTGTTATCTATTATAAAGAGATGTTTCTTCGATCAAAGCTTAGGGCAGCACTGGTCTACTGGTCCACTGGTCTACCGGTATTCCATAAATATTCAGGAGGCCTCTTGACCACATGTTCCTTTAGCAAAACAAAAGTAGTAGGTTTACCCCTAGTACCTAGGACCTCCTCAGTTGTGGGCGTTTGACCAAGTCTACAGTCCCAGGCATGAACTTCCTCCTATAGGTTGGGCCTCGTATCCAGTCATATACATCAGTTGGTTACTGTTGTTAAAATCATTCTGCTATGGCCCCAATAAACATCTCTTGCTTGGCAAGTGGGTATTGTAGTGTTCAAAGATGGGGGATGCCATCGCTGACTTTTCTCTCATGGCTGCCTTTATAACAACTGCAAACACTATAAAAGTTAGCCAGGGCACTCCATTTCATCATGGCTTCTCTATATTCTACAACTATGACAACATGGTGTCTTCAGCCATTGGATCTTAATATCCACTTCTGGTAGACAGCCAGGGAAAGTGGCTGTAGCTTAAATACTTGGAAAGGCCCCTGGGAACTTCCTGACCAACAGTTCCTAATGGGGTGTTCTACACCTGGTACTTGGATTTTCATTTACTATCCTGTGGCTCTGGAATCTCATCACCCACCAGAACATGGTACCCATATTCAAAATCTGTTTTTAAAATTGTTTTCAATTAGGCCGTAAGTCCTGATTTTCCCACGATGTCTTCACATATTGATATTTTAGTTAATCTTGCTCCCCATCTTCTCTTTCATCTCCTCCATCAATTTCCATATTCATGTGTACTACCATCCCTTCCCTGCTTAAGGTACCTACTTCTTCCCACCATGACACACCTCCCCCACCTTTATTGCTTCCAGGTCTCTACACACATTCCCAAGTTAAACAAATATAAAAATTTAAAGCTACAATTCACATTAGAGAGAACATGCAGAGTTTGACTTTCTGGGACTGCATTACCTCACTCAGCATAATTCTATAATATTTTCTAGTCCCATCCATTTTCTTGCAATTTTCCTTTTTCTTTTACCAGTGAAAAAAATCCCATTGTGTGCATGTGCCACGTTTTTCATTATCCATTCATTGACTGATGGGCACCAGGGTTCCATTTCCTAGCTGTTGTGAACAGAGCAGCGATGAATGTGGACATGCAGTTGTCTCTGTAGTACAATAGAGAGTCTTTTGGCTTTACAGTGGTATGGCTGGGTCCTATGGCAGTTCTAGTTTTTTTGTTTGTTTGTTTTGTTTTTTTTGAGAAGCTTGAGAAAACTCTAGAATGATTTATATAGTGGCTGCACTAGTTTACACCCCCACTAACAGTGCATAATATTTTCTTTCCCCCACATCATGACCAGCATTTGTTGTCATTTTTATTCTTTGTTTTGTTTGTTTTTGTTTTTGTTTTTGTTTTTGTTTTTGTTTTTTTGAACGAGGGTTTCTCACTGTAACCTTGGCTGTCCTGGAACTCACTCTATAGACCAGGCTGACCTCAAACTCACAGAGATCCACCTGCCTCTGCCTCCTGAGTGCTGGGATTAAAGGTGTGTGCCACCACCACCTGACCATCATTTTTATTCTTGATGGTAGCCAATTTGACTGGGGTGAGGGAGAATCTTAAAGTAGCTTTAATCTGATTTCCCCGTTGGCTAAATCCATCCTCAATTTTGTGCACAGGACTCTGTCTTACAGTTCATCCCTCTTTTTTTTTTCTACCTTGTTGGAAGGGGCGTACCCTTCTCAGAGATACCGTGAGAATGTGTGAATTCGATCAATATTCAGCTTCTAAGTTCACCTTGTGGATAGCGGGATTTTAGCGTTGTGTCAGTGACCTCTAAAGCTTGAGTTTTGCTGATGAGTGATGATTGACAGGCAGGAGTGGAGAGGAGGATGACTTCTCGGAGCCTATCACTAGAGTGTCTGCCTTCATCACACCAGCAAAGGGGATACACTGGAAGGGGTTCCCTCTTGCTGGCTTGTTTGAAAGCCTAGGACCCATGTTGCAGATATTCAATAAAGAATGTAGGACTCACCAAAGCCCCACACTGTTACTAAAACGAGGTCCATTCATCCCCAATGTTTTATATGTGATAAAAGTGAACGATGAGGATCTGCGCTCTGTCTGGTGGGAGGCAGCCTGCATTTAAACCTCAACTCACAGCTTGGGGGCGAAAGTACTCACTGTGGGTGACTTACTTAATTCTCCTACGTCTAGGTGTCTTGGATTCTAAGAAGGGTGGGCGCTAAAAACAGTCCAGGGGGTTGTTACAAAATCATGTGGAATTATCAGGGAAAAGCATGTAGCCCAATGCTGTGCACAAAGAAAATGTTCAGTAAATACCAGGAATTTTGCCTCCTCATTTTTATCCTTTTGTTTTGTAATTTCAATTTTGGTGAGTGTAGAGCCAGATGTGATGACGTGAAATAATAAAGGCGTACAAGAGGACAACTAAGGTCCCATCAACCCGGTTTTGTGATCCTAACTACATAGTTAATCAGTAAATTGGATAGCCTGCCATTCTAAGGAATGTCCACTAGGTGGCAACATGTGGTCATATTTACTGTCTGCTCTGAATTTGTGAGCAGGATCATGAGAGATTAGGCGGCACGGCATTCACCTCATCTGACACTTCAGAATTTTGTTACCACATGACTAGCTGGCCATAGTAATTATTTGGGGGAAATACTACAATTATGAGTTTTTGCTTAAAAATAACAGTTTCTGTTCCCATGTTGGGTTAGTTTAGGACTCTTTATAGTTGCCAGCAGCTGGAAACTAAGACCTCAGGAAGGACAAAGTATGTCTTTGTTCATTAAACAAATGTTTATGGACTTCCTGATAGAGATGGGATACAGTCTCTGGACTCACAATTGCTCACAGTTGAACAAGAACACAGTAAGTAAACTGTTGGCCTTCTGTTAGTGATGGTGGAAAACAGGCTAATGGAAATTTGAAATAAAAGATGAAAGTCTGCTCAGAGAGTACACTGAAACTAAGTTCACTCCATAAATGACTTGTAGCTCTTAAAAAAAAAAAACCTGGACAATCAAGGCTCCATATGACTTGCCACAATCACATGAAGACCTTTAAAATAATCAACCAACATATTATGCTCCCAGCAGGCTGCCCCCACCTCTTCAAACAAGTGTAGATTCTACAGAAGACCCCCCACCCCATCTGGTTGCTACGTAGCTGATTCATGGGATGCAGCTTCTAGTGCCCACTCCACAGAAAGGACCCGTGAGGATGGGGCACTGCATCTGGACGACATCCCCAGACCAACGTGGTTTTTCACTCTCGCTAGTGAATTCTGTACTTGTGCAGTAAGACTTCCCTCCCAACTCTCTTGTGCCAGCTCAACTCTACATTTTAATTTTGTAATTTACTTTATATTGTGTAAAGTAATAAAGTAATGCCCAGGCGGAGTAATTAATAGTTATTAACTGATTTTGTGAAAAGTTAAGTCGAGGACCTTGAACACACTCAAAGACCAGCTGCTAAAATACTTTGGCTCCACCAAATACCATGTGTTTCCCTCATGTCTCCAAGATGAAACCATTGATCTCACAGGAGAGAACAGGATGGGGATTATTAGAAACTTTAAAGGGTTGGAGGAGGAAGAATTAAAGTTGGATAAAGAGTGCCAAGATCTTTAGGACTCAGTTCAGGATAGACCCTTTAGTTACTCTCTTAAATACTTTATAAAGGACTAGAAGAAGTGTGTAGGTTCTAAATATAAAGAAATGATAAAAGGTTAAGGATATAAAAAATACTAATCATACCAACTTGACTGTTACACATGGTATAGATGTATGAATTATCGTATTATACAGTGAATTGTTATAATAATTCCATATATATACATATATGTTTAAAAATCTTGTGATCTCAAAATAGCTATGATGCATTAGGTAAAATTAATAGAAACCTCAAAAGTTTCTACACAGACTGCTTCAAAGGTGTGTTCCGAGCTTTGGGGACGCTTCCTTAGAATCAGGGTGTTTGAGATGAAGGAGACTCAAGGATGCTCAGTTAGGGGCCTATGTTTACTTTTGTGTTTGAAGTCAAAGTAAAACGTTTAACTATTATGTATGGCTTTTCATGATTCTACAAGGTTGGCTGATTTTTTTCGACATCCTTGCAATTGTTTTTCACCAAAATAAACTTTTCAAAACTAACCAAAACAATTCCTGTTCCATTTCTTTGCCCTTCTTATCCCTTAAATCCAGGAGTCAAGATTTCAGTCCTCTCAAATGTTTCCTTTGCCATCTTAATGAACAGAGCCTGTGTGTCTGTGTGCCTGCCCTTAATCTGGGTTCCCTGTGGGGTCTAAGCTCAGACAAGCTTCTTAGATGGTCCATGCCTGCTGTCTTTCTACACGTGACTGCTGGTTTAATTCTCCTAAAGTTCTGTTTAGGTTGTTCAAGTTGTGCCCGATAGGTCTGTGGGTTTGGGGTGAGTGGGTTTGAAATAGAGGAGTGGAGGATGAAGGGTGAGAACAGAGGTGCATGGAAGGGTCCGTGAGAAAGCTGAATGGACCACATCAGTCAAGTCATCCAATCAATGGAATTAAAGGACATAGCTGGTTTTGTTGAGGGAGCTGAGACTCTACCGTGTAAGAGGACAGAGGGCATGATGGAGGAGCCAAAATGGGACTGAGTGATGCAGGATGGGATGAAGTGTCGAATGCACTCTTAGTAGCAAGGCGGCTCTGAACAGAAGGAAGGGTACTGGGGCTGGCTTCCCCGAGCTGTACATCAAGGTTAAGACATGTGCTATGTCCTCTCTCCTTTTTTAATTGCTAGATATTTAAAATTTTTATTTTTTACATTATAATGTAATTACATTTCACTGTTCCCTTTCCTCCCTTCAAATGCCCCCACATACCCTTCCTTGCTCTCTTTTGAATTCATGACCTCTTTTTTCATTAAATGTTATTAGATGCACATATGCATACACTTATCTATTTCTGAATATAACCTGCTTGGCTATAAAATGTTACTTCTATGTATGTGTTTTCAGGGTTGACCATTTGGCATTGGGTAACCGATTGATGTGCTCTTCCCTGGGGAAGACTATTTTTTTTTTTTTAAGCTTTCGGTATTTCTTAGTTACCTGTAGTTATTTGTGTGTGGTTGAGGTTTTGTGGGATTTTTCCTATCAACTTTGACATGTCTGTTAGTGTCAACAGTTAGTGTCTTGTTCAGCTCATGTTTCCATCAGTCATGCTGTTGAGACGTTATGAGTATAGCTTCTGATACCCTTGGGAGACAGAGTCCCACAGCAAACTCCCTGATCCTCTGGCTCTTACAATCTTCCACAGTGTTCTCTGAGCCTTAGGTATAGGAATGTTTTGCTGATGTGTCCATTGGGACTGGGCTCTACAACTCGGCATCTTGATTGGTTGTGGTTTTCTGTAGTGGTCTCCATCTATTGCCAAGAGACATTTCCTTGATGAGGGGTAAAGGCTACACTTATTTTTAGGCAAGGGACAAATGTTTAGATTAGGAATGTTAGGAAGTATGCTAATTTAGTAAAGTAGTGATTTCAGGTTCTCCTCCAATATCCATGACCTCACTAGCCCTGAGTAGTTAGCTAGATCTCCAGGACCAGGCATGGTTTTCTTCTTGTTATGT